TGTTTATTAAGATTGGACGGCAAAAATCACCCTACGGCCATATCAAGTCTCAGACTTGGATGACTTCTTGGAATGGGCAAATGACAATGAAGTGATCAGGACAAGCAGATTAAGGCATTTCACCTCACGAGAAGATGCCCTGACTTACCTCAAGGAAGTGGCAATACCAGATCCATGGTACAAAGCTGTGTACCTGGAAGGCCTTCCGGTGGGGTTCGTGTTGTTCAGACAAATTGGTTCCGGAAGCGCGAGATGCAGAGGAACTGTAAGTGTTGCCTTGGGTAGGAAATATTGGGGCAAAGGGATTATCACGACGGCACTGAATATGCTTGTTTCGGCAGTGCTTGAAGAGTTCCCGGATGTGGAGAGAGTGGAAGCTTTTACTCTTGTGGATAATAAGGCCATGCAGAGAGTACTGGCGAAGTTGGGGTTCCAAAAAGAAGGGAAGCTTAGGAAATATCTTGTCATCGATGGGAAGGTTTCTGATGTTTTCATGTATAGTCTGTTGAGGTCTGAATATCTCCCACTCTCGTCATCATCAACTGTGTCCAATGTCCCATTACTGGAGCTTGAAGGCGATAGCTAGCATGCCAATTTTAGTTAGCATACTAGGTTTGAGGGACAATTGATACCCTTCATAGATGGATTTTGGTTGTCCTCAATTTGAAGGTGCTAAATTCTATTATTTCACTGATCTTGTGTGTTTTGGACTATATTGATGTTAGTGTGATCTAATGTCTTAGCTTCGAGTTTATTTTGTTATGCACACTAGATGTTTGATTAAATGCCAATAGGTGGGATGTTGGTTTTGTTTTTTAAATGTATTGTGGGTGCTTAGGATGAGATGTCAATTGTATTTTAAGAATGTGATTTTGGGTTTGTTTCGTTATGATCAGTAATAAAGTAAACATTTCTTTCTAAATTCTGAAAGATCTACACTTTAAAGAGTGCTTAATTGGCTGGCACATGAAATATATCAATTTGACAATTCATTACTCGAGTACTGAAGAGTCGGTTTTGTGAACAGCCCTAGAGAAAGCTAAAATATCATCAGGCTTTTGTGCTTCTCCCCCGCCGGCACCGGCCTTATCGTCTTTACTCCCATCATTTGATGATGGATTCACTTATCACCACCTTTGCTAGCGGATCAATTGCCGTCGTCTTTGTCGTGCTTTCGAAACAAACTCCACATTCCTCCTTGTTACCTTCTGTTTGTTGCCTCCCCTTCTCCGCATGCTCTCTTATTGTCTGTTTCTGGGTGTCCATTTCTCTCCTCTCTTCTTTCTAGTTTTCCTTTTTCACACTATTTGTCTTTCGTTTTTGGTTGCTGCTAAATAGAAAAATGTGGGATAGGCACGCGTGTCGGATATCATAGATTATGTGGCGTTCTCCTTGCATGCTAGAGAAGCATGATCCTACACGTAGTCAGGCTCGTGAAAACTTTTCTTTATGGCGTGCCTAGTATCCCTTACTCGGATTACGGGCATGTTTGCAGTTTCTTAAAACTTTTACTTCTTTAGTAATAAGTTAAAATTTAAAAGTTATGAGTTATAAGTTTTTTTTATGACTTATAAGTGTATGAGTTATAAATTTATAAGATATAAGTTTAAATGTTATTTTTAAAAATTATAAAAAGTGAGTAAAAAAAATTATAAAAAAAATTT